GATATTAGATACAAAAAAAAAAAAATTAACAAAGTCGGCTTATTGCACACTCATAATTGTAAGGCAATTGTATTAACCTTTTTCCTTATGTGTATGTATGTCTGTAAACATGTACATGAATGTGCTTACATATGTATTTATATAATTGTGAAATATGAAGTCATAGCAGTTCAACGATTTCTACTCTGGATTTCTACTATGCCATAATGCAGAAGGCTAAAAGCTAAGGTGTGATGACGGATTGGTCTACATTTGCCTAAGTATTTATATATGTACATATGTATTTAGAACATAAAGTCAAGGCAAGGCAAGAAAAGAAAGAAACACAAAAAAGGTAAATATTTATGTGGCGTGGTGTGGTATAGTGTGACGTGTTTTGTTTTTACTTGAATGACTCAAGAGTGACATCGTCAAATAATCAAGCAAAATATGATAAGTATATACACTCAAGCACATAATAAATACTCGTCGTACTATTGTATAAAATGTTAATTACTGTTGCTAAATCTCATGTTTTTTAATGTTTGGCTTTTAATCTCTTTTTTTTTGAAACTACTTCTCTAAATTCACGTACGCATTTCGGTTTTTTGTTAGAAAAAAATTTGCTTATCAATTTTGAGAGTAAAATTCGTTTAAAAATATTTTCAAGTGCGCGGCGAAGAATTTTATTTTTAATCATTTTAAATTATAAATACGAAAATGCGGATCTGCCTCTTGAAAAACAAGGCTGTTGAAAGAGACGAAAGAAACAGAAATAATTTTTTTATGTGCGTTATAAAGCTTAGTTGTTTTATTAAAACAAGACTAATTTTCTTTAAGCGAAATTTTAGCAGGTTTTTTATGAGTCTATCTTCCATGTCTTAGTCTATTTTTCGTCTACAACAAATATTGTGTCGTCAAAAATTTTGGTAAATTTTTTAAGGTTCTGCTGAACTAACAAAGAGTCTCATTCTTTAAGGGACAACACTTGTTGAGCGTAATCTGCTTGCGGTTTAAAAGGCTCAAAGGTTTTTTAATGAGCTCGTTTTCTTATTATAGATTTTTTTTTGTAAATATTAACAATTTAATGTTATTTTTTAATAATTATATTGTTTACTCTGGCCTAATTTGAAATTTTTACTGCAAGAAATATATTTGAAAAATAGGGTTGGTCTAATACAAATAACAGTATAGTGCTTATCCGCATGGGCAATAACTGCGTTCTCTTTACGTCAATTGTTTGTCGTTGTTGAAAGAAAAATAAAATTTGTTCACTCTCTCTTTTATAATTTTAAATATTTCGGTTTGCGCCACAATCATCGACTTTAATTAAAAAGGCCAAAATACATACCTACAGCCACGTTCATGCAAATAGAATATATAGCAAAATCTGGGCTTTACTTTCTTAATATTTTGTGTTTGTCTCTGATTTTTGAATGCAGCATAACATCTGCTCTCAACAAGTCTTTCACATTCTTTTCTTTGCATAAAATACCCCATCTCCTTGATTTTCTGCGACAAATCTTCAAAATATTTAAATATTTTCTCTGATCTTTTTATTTTAATATCGTTCCATTGCTTTGAGATCTTGACTTTGCGTTGGCCTATCGAAAACACAAATATTCCCGCCAGAAAACTTAGCTTCCAGTTCACGAAGACCGTGGAGAGTCGATTCGGCGCCGTTCGCATCAACTCGGTCTGACGTATGCAACGACTTGGCGAATTCAACGTCGAGATCTTAAATTAAAAGCTTACAAAATACAGCTGGTGCAAAAATGAACCCGCTAGACCTTCCCAAGCGAAATCGCATCGCTCTATGGGCTCTGGAAAAGTTCGAAGAGGATCCGACGTTTTCGAGCTAAATTTTGTACAGCGATGAGGCCCGTTTCCGGATCAATGGGTTGGTAAACAAGCAAAATTGCCGATTTGTGTGGTTTGTGTGCCGTTGAAATCGTCGGTCCATATTTCTTCAAAAATCATGGCAGCGAGAACGTAACTGTCACTGCGCGGCCAAAATTTTAAAGATATAATCTTCAAAAAATAATTGTCAGAAAACGTTTTTTCGAATGATAAACATTACATTACCCATTAAATTTTAGTTTTTTGATGTTTTTTTTTTAATTATGGAACCCCGAAATGGAGCTCTCTTCGAATCTTCATATACATTCAGATTTTTTGTCCAGGCGATTCAAGGGGATCCACCATGCTCTTTTCTATTACGGTTCTATCTTCAAATATCGATGTCTGACGCGGTGTCTTAGATTTGCTTTGAGATAAGTAATCTTCACTTTCTTGTACCAATTGAAGAGCGTTATACACCATTTCATCGGAAAAATTCACTAAAACGGCCATTTCTGAAGCACCTTTTCCCTTTGCAGTCCTCATATAAATAAAGCTTCTTTTTCAAAAAAAAAAAAAAAAAAAAAAATATCGAGATTAAGCAAAAAGCAATGGAAGCTAGATGATAAAATAAAGAGAATAAATATTTTTTTATTTAGGAAAATATCGCTTTTCTAGGCAGATTGACTTTGTGCTATTTGTTTGGCCATGACTGTATATACATAAATAAGTATATAATTGGCGATTTTTCGGCCGAGCTCCTCCTCCAATTTGTGGGTTGGCGTCATGATTTTTTTCCAACAAATGGAGGGACCTACAGTTTATATTAAGCCGCCTCCGAACGGCAGATGGTTTTTTAACTGGGAGCCTCTATTTAATGTCCGTAATGACACTCAGAGGGGTGGAAATTCCCTGCCGAGGGGCAACCGCAATTAAATTATTTTCCATAACGGTTTGGTTTGTTGATGGCACCGGGATATGAATGCGAACCTTCCGAATGTCAGTACGCGATGCCAACCGCTCGGCTACCGCGGCCACATATACGAGCATATACGTATACTATATGTGAATTGTCGGCCCTAAGAGGCTACAAAATTATTTGAAAGAAACTTTTTTTGACGTTTCGATATAAATTTGTTTTTAAACTATTAAAATGTAGATAACAATGTTATAAAAAAATTGTAATATATTATTTTAATTTTTTATTTTATATATGTACATACATATATTTTAAAAAATAAAAGAAAAAATTTACTACACATAAAAACTTGATAATAATTTGCATCACCCTGTTATAATAATAAAGCTCATAAAGTTTAAAAAAAGTTCAAATCTCTATTAATTGGCTACAGCTTTAAAGCTTATATTTTCCATACTACATAATACATATAAAGACACATGCATGCATACATAAATGTATATAATAAGAGAAAAGAGAGAAGAGCGCGCATCTGAGGTACGTGAGTAGCAAACAATTTACAAAAAAAAAAAAAAAAAAGAGCATAAAGAAAGAGTGCATGTTATTCTACTTTCCTTTTTTGACAAATTGTGCTTTTTCGTCTATTTATCTAGATTTTCGCTTTTGCTATCGTTTTGAACACCAAAATGACCTTGACGGCGAGCATTTTGCGCTAATCCTCATACACTTGAATCGTCTTGCTTATTGAACCAAGTGATGGAAATTAGCGAAATAGGGGATGGATGAAGCATAAGAAGCGCCTCTCTGACGAGCCGAATAGTATTTTTCGTTTTAGTGCTTGTTAACCTAAATCTTTATATGGAAGCTTACGTGTAGTTATTTAGAAAGATTGAATATGTTGTGAGGGTAGGACGTTTTGAGTATCCACGTGGTATTATTGTAAATTAAAGCTCTTTACTTATATACATACATATGTATGTCGTCAGCAACTTTCGTTCTTAAATAATCAGAAGTTTAAATTAGTAGGAATTCCATGCAGACTGGAGTTTTTAGCAAGCTTACTCTCAGAGCCATTAGTAGTATTCTTTTTTAGAAATTAAATTTTAAAATATTTTACTCGTATATTGGTATATTTTAGGATTCTTATGTAAGGTGGAGTTGGGATGAATTCGTGGTAGGAATTTTTATATTTCCTTTTTTAGGTTAGGTTCCACAGGTCAGCTGATGTGCCCTACATAGACCGTTTGGTCCTTTGAAATGCTAAACAGATCTTCGTTTCGATGCGATGTAAAGTAGTCCCCGTATGGGACGCCTTTCGGCAAGTCGGAGAAAGCTTTAATATCCAATTTTTAAGCCTCTTCTAGTATTTTGAACTACGAAGCTCCGAAATGTCTAAGAAAAGCTCTGACTGAGGACGAACAGAAACACTGGCGGTGATCTAACACCTCACTCAAACGTTCCTTCCTGCATTACCTACATGTGTTACTGCTACTATTGCGGCTCTTTATAATTATGATCTTTTTGGCTTTGCTTATCGCTATTGCGTTTCATCTTACACTGTTCCAGCACCCGGTGCTTTTGGAATTTTCTTTATTGATCGTTTTTAGCAACTTTAACTGTACTGGTCTACTGTACTACAGAACTACTCCCTGAATAATGAGTAGACTAAGTAGATTTTAATAATTTTTGCACAATTTAAAAGCGACTTGATGTTCAGTATTAAGACTTTACTTTAGTTTTCGAAACACCCAAGCTTTAGATAAAGCCACATAGAAATAGATGAAGTCTCTCTTAAATCTTTACGCCTTAACTTCCTGCATGAACTTGACTAGTACTGTACAGCCTGCTCGCGTGTGGCATCAGTAAATTAGACCTCTAACTGTTTTGCTCAGGATATTGATGACTTATGTCTGCACTTCTTCACTGCAAGACAAGTACGACTATAACCGGAGAGATCCTCGGCTACTTTCTTCACCCGCTGGACGAAGGAGTGCAGGCTCGAACTCAAAGTAAAAGTCGATGGTGTAAAATTAGCGACAGTGAGTCCCCGCAAGGCACTAACTACCCTACCTTTTCGGTGATCTAACCCTGTTTAGGTGAATAACACTAATCACCTCTTCGCATGCCCCCTAAAACCAATACATCTAACCCCCATTTTTCCCTCTGGTCCGAAACCGTCGAAACAGCTCGTTTGCTATGCCTCTCGTTAGATGTCCACGATGACTTAGACCATTTTATTAATTTATTAACAGCTTTTACTTACCCCTCTGGAATCGCGGAATAAAATAGCGGCATGATGCGGATCTAAAGTACCGTCGCCACGTAAGCCTCGACTGGCTGCACCCAAAGAAGCACGTCGTTTCTCCAAATCGGCTGAGGCACGACGCATATGAGCACCTAATTGCGAGAGAAATAAAGGCAGAAATTAGTTTTTGCTTTTAACGGTGTTTTTGTTTTCATCACGTACATCTATTTAAGCTGTACAAAGTACAAAATAGGAATTACAACAAGTAACTAACAGCGTGTCATAAAATAGTAATAAAAGTCAAATCGTAAAAAAAACACATATACATACATATACATTTATGTATGTATGTAAATTGTACTTTGATATTTATATTATAATCATGATAGGTAAACCTCAAACTATTGTATATACTTAGCCATTTCCCTCAATCTACACCCTCCTCATCACCGATTGCCACATTTACTCAATTTCGGCATCTTCTTTCATTTACCTTCTTTAACAATTTTCTCATAGATTTTATATGTCGCACCGCAATCCTCCAATATCCGATTCGGCCGACTCAACGTATTCACATCCAAACTCTTCGAGCGCGAACGGAAATTCTCTTGCGGATCGTTGAGCGGCGATGTGCAAACGCTATTCGTATCATGTGATTTGCGTGGCCAAATGTGTACTTTTTTTGAAAATGATTTCAACATTTCCTGTATTGAATGATGATGATGATGGTGATGGTGATTATGATGCTCCTTTGATTTCTTATGTTCACGTGGCAAAGAATTGTCACTATCTTCATTTGTGCTCAAACTCTTTGCAAAACTGCTATTATCAAAACGATATTTATACGACGAACTACTCTCGACCGAATTCCGCGATTGTCCTACATAATCGTCCAGCGAGGTGTAGGCAGCGCCTACTCGATGAAATATCGAGTTTATACTTGGTCGTTCCGGTGTACGCGCACTGCTCGCACCCGTATGAGTAAAATATTGATGATCGGCCTGCGATTCGTAAATATCATCGAGATCATGCGGAAAGTAGCCACCTTGTGTGGCATTGACGGGCGGTGAACCACAATAATCGTTGGGGTAACGACGTAGGCTCTAAAAAAAAGAAGTACAAGAAATGAGTTATTGTAAAATTATGAATTTTATGGAGTGCTCCCTCTTACAGCATATACGGCAGGACTATGAGATCGATCAAAGTAGTTGCGTTTCGAATTGGTACGTTTGAAACTATTACTGTGGCTGTCATAGGAACTTCGTGTCATGTTGTTGGCATTCGATGGCGAGTTGCGGTAGTGATTGTTGAGCGATTTGCTACCTTCTGGCACTGGTTGCGGACTGGATGACTGTACTAATTTCTCAATTACTTTATCTGAAAAGCGAATTAATTTTTTGAAATAGAAAAATTGTATTTAGTTTAAATAAGAGCAATAAAAGATGCATGGAATAGAGAGACAAATAAAAAGCTACACCCCGTGAAGAAAGAAAGGAAGGATGGAAGGTAGCAAGTGGCAGTTAGAGAATGTCTAACACAGGAAATTGTTCCAAGAACGAAAGCACCGGCTTTTCAGATTGACCAAAGGACAATTAACAATAATAGCTTCCGATAGGGTTCTGATTAAGGTTGGATCGGTTGCAGACGACGCATTAAGACTATTTTCTATAAGCGTTAAACAGAACAGTGAGTTCGCCAACACCTTCATGAACTCTCTACCAGTGAGTGGTGTTTTCGGAGCCCAAGCACCACCTATACCTGCCAAAGAGTTCGAGCTGCCTCGAGAGACCCAAGTAATACTGGCATATTTAAGATGCTGATATTGTAGTCGATTTAATTTCTAGCTAACCAGACTTTACACCGACATACTCAACATAGGGCATACCCCGCAGAATTTTTTAAAAGCCTAATCTCACCGTTTTTTGGGGTTTTAAAAAAGCTCAGCTCAGAAACTTGGTCCATAGAAAATATTTGTTGCATACTTTTTGGCGTGAATTAGATCTGTATGTGTCAACTAACGACATAATGAAGAAACTATTATTGAACTGGGTGAGGGCATACTAATAGTTGTGAAGGAAAAAAGGAAAATGTTCCTTTTCGACTTAAGAGGAAAAACAAATGTTAAAAGTTTCAGTTAAATTTTAGGTTAGTGAAATATTCAATTTTTTTTTTGAATTCCAATATGATTTGCTCTCCATTCCAAGCAAACTACCACCGCGCTTACCTTGTGACCAATTCGGTGATTTGGAATTGGTCGAGGAACCGGAACTGCTGCCCGAGTCAACGCTATGCAAACGATTTGTCGTGTCATTATTACTGCCCGATGAATCGTTGCTTTCGTAGCTAATGCTGTCACGTGGATAACTATTACGTGAACCGAAAGGTGAATGATTGTTGTGGTGATGATGGTGAGTCGTCGAGCATGCGCTATCGGCGCTCAGCTGTTTTTCGACAGCATGCTGTCGATATAAATGCGTTATGCCATGCATATTTATATTTATTGATATTTGTAGTTATTTTCTTTATTATATACGAGTATATATGTATGTAAGTTATGTTGTTGTTTTTGTATTTTTTTGTAATAATATTACACTTCGTTAAAACTTTACAATTTATTGAATAAAAATCACATTCTGCGCAATGTTTTTATATTTTATATTAAATTATATTAAATTTCACAGCAAAAATATTTTTAATCACAACGCATAGCGTACTGTAGAGATTATGCTTTTTTTTAATTATGGAACGAAATTATACGAGTTTTTAAATCACTATATTGCAATCACGTTTTAGCTGAATTTTAATTTTGTTTTTTTTTTTTTTAATTTAATCGATTTTTTTGTACTTTCCTTTTGCTTTTGTTGCTTAAAAAGTCACATGTTTTTGTTATTCTTTTTATTTTATTTTTTTTGCCGCAACTAAATTTTTATTTGCACAATTTAAAACAAGTTTTTCTCACAATTTTTTAGTTAATTGCAAACAGTGTGACGGCCAATGTCGGTCACCTTGCAGTTGATTTTTTACCCTTGATGTTATTGCTATTGTTTTTGTTTATTATAAAACTTAGCATTTGTGTAAAAACAAATCCTCATTAACTACTGTAACAAACATTGCACACATTTTGCTACTGCACTAAGTGCACATATATACGTACGCGTACATATGTAATATGCGTGAGTTAAGCTGTTTGCCTTGCTGTCGGTTGCCCACTCGCAAATAGTAATGAACTGTAAAAAATCGCCGACCAGCCGGCATTTGATTTCAGAAAGCAACAGAAACAGAGTGCACAAACACAGCAAGCGACTGATAGCGGTATTACTGTGGAGTCTTTAGGGCAGCGCCAACATCAAGTTTAGCTGCAGTTTGCAATGCAATGCTCTCTCGCTCTGCTCTTTAGCTCGTAGCAGTAGATGCTCACAGAGTTGGAGTTGACTTCTAGTTATCACTGCACCTTGCTCTCTCTCTCTCTTCTGCTGTTCTTTTAATGTACATTTGCATGTATATATGTATGTTTATAGTTGGTTATGTTTAAATACTTTTTTCCAATGCTTTTGACACATACGCACACACAGTTTTCGTTCTCAGTTGTTGACTGCGATGTTGCAGCCAACGCTTTAAGTTTTCGTTTTTTTTTTGTTGTTGTCTCACTTAGTTGTTGCCGCTGTTGAAACCTCAACTACTCTCTACATTTGTAGTATTTTGTTGTTTATTAAAGAAATACAGCGAAGCCAACCAAGTTAATTTATACATATATATGTATGTACGTAGTTGCTCTACTCCCACATGCGTTGCAGCGGCAACAAATGCCGTCGATTTATCTATAAATGTAGAATGTGGAAGTTGTTGCTATTGTTACAAATATTTCAACTATGATAAATACTTTTGTTGTTGCATCTATAGCTGAACGTGTTGCAGTTGTCAAAGCGACAGTTGAACGACCTGTAAGTAAGTCAAAGCTGTAGACAACATAAAAATGTTTATGATAATTTCTTTTTCGTGCTCTCGCATACACACACTCCCTGCTCTCTTCTCTTCTAAAGTGCAAAATTCGGTTTTTTGTTCAAAAATGCACCGCCGAGTACATTGATATGAAGAAAGTAATGTTGAATTAAATAGTATAAAATAAAATAAAATAAAATAAAATAAAATAAAACTAAATAAAATAAATAAAATAAAATAAAATAAAATAAAATAAAATAAAATAAAATAAAAAAAGTTAAAATAAAATAAAACAAACAAAAAAATTAATATTACATAAAATGAAACACAAAAAATTACATTTATTTTTTATTCTATTTTATATTAAGTTGTCGCCAGAAATTAATTAATTTCGAAATGCATTTTAAAATGTAATATTTCAAAATTGAATTTATTTTTTTTTTTTGAAAATTGTTTTCTATGCTATAATAAATCAAAAATCTTCACTGTTAAAATATTTGTGTATTACTTTCACAGCTCTTGTAAAGGAAAGGCAAAATGCTGTTGCTGTACGAGCAATTGGAAATTATCAAATTTCTTATTTTTATTTTTTTTTTTTTTAATAATTTTTGTTTTGTTTTAGTTTTTAGAATATTTTTATTATTTTTTTCCATTTATTAAAATTTAATAGTTTTTATTATTTAAATTAATTTTTTTTTTTATTTTCTTTTTTTTTTAATTTTTAATTTTTGTTTAGTTTAATTTTTTATAATTTTTTTTTAATTTATTTTTTTTTTTACAATTTAGCTTCACTTTATATATTTATTATTTTAGTTTGCAGATTTCTATTTTTTTATTTTTATTTTGGTTTTATGTTTATTTTCATTTTTATTTACTTTTATTATTATTTTTTCACTTTACTTTTAATTTTGCTTTATTATTTTATTTTTAGTTTTTATTTCGCTGCATTTCATTTGTCTTATTTTATTTTAATTTCAACATATTTTACGACACTTAATGCCACCGGCTCCTTATCATCCCATTATACCCCACCCCCTTGTACTTAACCTAGTTTTTAATAAACAAAGACAAAACAAAACAAGAATTATTGATAGTGTACTAGAAGTATTAATTAATTAATAGGAGTATTTGTGTATATTAATGTAAATAGATATGTGTGTATGTTTGTTTGTATGTATGTATAAACAAGTACGTATGCTTACGTGTAAACAGGCCAAATTTAAAATCACATTTATTTAAATTCTTTTCGTTTTCGGCTGTTTTAGCCAACGTCAACAAACGTACATATGTACATATAATCATACATATACATATATGTATGTACATAAATACATGTGATATGAAGGCCAGTAGTTTTACAGTAAGCAAATTAAAAGATTATATTTAGTGTTTCATTAAATAATATAGCGTTTATATATAAATATACATATGTGAGAATGTATATACATATGTACATGTATAGTTAAATGGTAAAAAGCAACAATAAATTAACGATTTTTCATGAAGAAGGCAGATCGTAGCGCGGTTGACAGACGGCGGACTACGCTAACACGTACATACATACATACATACTTGTGTACATACATATGTAGATATATATTTATTTATGTAGGTGATAGCTAGAGACGTTTTGCGAAAAAAGCGCTCGTGTTGCAATGCACGCACGCCTTGCCAGTCTGTCTGGCTGAGCAAGTGAATGAAAAAAATAATATTATTTACAGTGTTAACATACGTATGTATGTATATACACTTGTAGAATATATATAAAATATTTTATCTGAATAAACATCTTGAAGCAATCATATACATTTCAATATGTATCTCATTATGTACACATAGTGCTTACTCACAAACAGACCTAATTGTATTATAGCGCGCTGAGAACAAGTTTATTTGTATGTATATTGTGCATATGTAAGAGCATATGTGTGTTTAAAATGCAGTTTTATTTTTTACATCAATAATGTAATTATAGCACATATTTATATTTTTGTTGTTTGTCATAAAAATTGTTTTGATTCTGTATAGCTTTTTATTTATTTTGGTTAATTCAAATTTTTAATTATTATTATTTTTTCCTTACAAAAAATTACATTAATGTTTATAAATTTTTTTTTATTTTTTTTTGGTGTTCAATTTTCAGAAACCTTTCTCTTACGACCGAATTTTTAAATGAATCAATATTAAATGTGCGATATTAAAACGGACACTTTCGCTTCGCAACTTTATTTTTATCCCGAAAAGTCTGGAATAGCTATAAAATATTAAACATCAAAAAACATACATATATACATACATATTTCTTATTTATTCAGCACGACCTTGTGATTAGTTACGCAAGTATTGACCTACTTTGAATGTAGACATGTATATATACATATATACATACATATGTATTTAAGTATATCCAGGAAATAATATTTAGCTTTCCTTAAAAAATGCTGTGGCACATAATTTTAAATTTTTATTAAGAATTTTCACACAGTATTAAATTAACTTTTACGGTGGCAAGCGCCGAATAATAGATACAGTTAAGAAAATATTGTTACAACAAACAACGGAAACCAAATGGAGCAATGCGTAAAAAATCAATAATTTCTTGTGAATTCTAGGAGAAATTCACTACAACAACAAACAGTACACTGTTTCGACGTGTATTTAACGCTTGAGTTTAATAAACATTTTGGAAATAATCATTACAAAAGGTCTTAAAATAAAAAAAATAAAATAAATAAAAAATAAAAAAAAAATTGAAAAAAAAAATAAATTGAAATATATTTATAGAAATAATACGAATATGAATTAAAAAATATTAAATTTGTTTATTGCTAAAAACTAAAAAATTAATTTAAACTAAATAAATAAAAAGTTGTAGCTATTGTAAAAACAACAAAATTTAGTTCAAAACTAAGTTGTAAACAATAAGAACTAAAAAATAAAAAAAATAAATAAAAAATTAAAGAGAAAAAAATAATTTACAATAAAAGATTAAAAAAAATTTTAAATAATAATTTATTGTAATAAGCATTTTACGAAAATACAATGTCGTAAAAAAATTAAAAACAACAAAAATTATAAAAATATAGTTTATTTTATTGCAAATTATGCAAAAAATTAAAATGAAAAGAAAAATTTATTACAAAAAATTTAAATTAAAGCAATAAAAACAATTAGTAAAAAATAATAATAAGAAGAATTTTGCAAATATGTTAAAGAAAATTTAAAACAGTTTAAAAAAAAAAAAACAAAAAAAAAATAATGAATAATTTATTTCCATAAGCAATTTGCATAAATTTGTTTGAAAAAAATTAAAACAAAAAATTAAAAAAAAGAAATTAAAAAAAAAAAAATTCAAGAAAAAAAATATTAATAAATAGAAAAAAAGTAATAATTTACTTTAATGAACATTTAATTTTACTTTTTTTCTTACTTTATTTATTTATTTTATTTTATTCATTTACTTTTTTATTTTTATTTTGCTTAATATTTTTTCTTTTTTAGTTTTTTTGTCATATTTTATATATATATATATTATAAAATCTGTTCAAATGAATATAAATTTTGAACACATTTCATAATATTTCATGCAATCGGCTCGGATGGCAAGTATGACATTTTAGCCCACCACGTATGATGCAAAAAATTAAAACAAAAAAATAAAATAATAATAAAAAAATTAAAATAATATAATTTATTGTAACAAGCATTTTGCGCAAAATTTTATTGGAAAATATTTAGAAAAATTTTATATAAATAAAATTAAAATTATTTAATATAAATTTGCTTTCTCAATACCTACGACAGGAGTAAAATTCATTTGTTAGCGAGCACGTTTTAATTATAATTAATCAAGTTCAAACTTTTGTATAAACAATTATTTTATTATATCTACATACATAATAACATACATAGTCTCAAAGTAGCATTAGAAAAAGAAGAGGAATATATTCTATTTATAGCCGATCACAAGATTCCTTGTTCAAAAGCTCTAATTTAAAGTCTCACAGTGAAATTAGCAAAGATTAGTTAATTAGCGCCAGCAGCTGGTGTACGCGCTCAGAAGCATGATTTTAATGAAACAAATGAAATGTAGGATGATAACGCAGCTAAGAAGAGAGACGACAAAGTTTAATATTTTACATTTATTTTAAAGCATAATTTCATTATATGTATGTATACTTTGTTGTTTATTTTCAGCAAATTATTATGATAGCAATTTTTGATTATTATTATCAAAAACGCGCCCCTAGTATAAGTTATATATATATGTATTTTTAAACATGTTCGTTTAACCGGTAGAGGCCAAATAAATTATGGAAATAAATATTGCTCGTTGTAAATTTTTTTTTTAATGTTAAATTTTGATGACTCCAAATTACAAGATTGCGAGTTATAAGTATATATTTATTGCATATAAATGAATATGGACATTTTTGCCATGTCGCATGGAACGATCCTATAAATTCAAATGGAAAAATACAATACTGCTATCCAATTTATTCGTTTAAAAATTTTATTTAACAAAAATTCGAATCAATGAATTTTTCGAATAGATCCAGATATAAAAGCTATTAATATGATAGTCTAGGTAAAGAATTATCTCTGTTCCAATATCTCCGTCTCCATAGCAAGTAAATTGAAACCCAATTATCATTCTTTACAAGAGATCGGTTGCTGATCCATTTCTCGGAAGAAATGTTACTTCTTTGTATTGGTTTAGATTACTCAAAGGCCAAATTCGATTAAACGCTCAAAAACCTCGTTACATGACGTGTGTCACAGCCGAGTCCCTTTTAGGTAAGGAATTTCGGAAAATCCGTACTAATCTGATGCTTATCAGTTGTGTATCACAGAACACGCCCTCCAAGTTTTAGGTTTCTGTAAACAGCGATTTATGTTGTACGCTGATCAGTCAGAATCAGTATATATATATCAGTAATACAATACACTGTTATATACAATAAATAAATTTTATTTTTAATAATTTAAATTTTACACGG